CTTTAGCATGAGTGGTATGAACGCCCTCAGTTGTGCCTGGGTCATCTTTTCGACCGGCGTGGGGATGCCATCGATGACGAGAGGAGGCAGCTCGTGCCGCGACGGGTCGTCCTGGACGGGTGGCGGCGCGTGCCTCGACAGCGCCGCCTCCAGCTCCTGCATTACCGGTACACGCAGCGCGCGCATCTGGAAGGGGACGGAGACAGAGTGAGCGCCGTGAGAAGGTGGGGCAAAATTAGCAGAGGTTAGCAGTATTAACAAATACAGAGGTGGGCAAGAATGGAGCAGAATCAGCCGATCAGTGAGCATTGAGCTGGAAGACGTTATTCACCATACCTATTTGACTTCAAACACAACTCTTTTGATACAATGAAGCAATGCCAATTCTCAATGACGCTAATATTCCCAATTCGAGGATTTACTAAGCAGGGGCAACTTCTCCAAGACAAAATGAAACAACAGCCGTCTACTACCGACTCGGTAGTTACCAAGGCCCACACACACTAGCAGCCCACATTGACGGGTTCCACCATCGATCACTTACCACATCTTCCAGGGGTTTGGCACCGAACACCTTGTAGCTATTGTTGGGTTTTCCGGGCGTGACAAACATGACCACTGCCTGCTGGCCGACCCGTGTCGTGTACTCGTCAATCGTTTGCTGCGGCACGACGAGCGATCACCGGTCAGGGGGAGGCACGACGAGAGTTCATTGATAGAGGGTCGGGGGTGGGGCACGACGGAGAGGTCAACAACGATCGGGGAGAGGGGGCACGGCGAGCAGTCACCGGTCAGGGGGAGGCACGACGGACGGTCACTGATAGGGGAGCGAAGGAGCGTGCAAGGGAACAGAGTGGTGAGTGGTGACGGAAGTGCGGCGGTTGGGTCAGGGACATTAGGTCAGACGGTACACGGCAATCGAATACAGGGCTTGAAAGTTGTTCGCAAGCATCGGACTCGTGCCCATTCGTGATTTCCAACAAATTGAGGAAAAGTGAGAGAGGCTCTACGAAAAAAAAATACGGACGAAGTTCGGGTGTTGCTATTAAAATTTTTGATGGCAAACACCCCCTCCCCCTCCCCCCGGCCTCCACCAGTCGATAATAAGGGTTTATGGAGCCTTCAGCGTAGGAGCCATATGTCGCAAAGCGCCGTTTCTATTTTTCACATACAGTTGTCCGACTACCACACTACGATAAACAATATCGTCCTTGACAGAGTATTAAAACAGCATTCGGGCATGTGTAATAACATAAAAATGCCCCCATCAAAAACGTCGCACTGAACTGCATCATCCGGTAACTAACCCACCTTCAATTTTCGAATCAGCCGCGTCTGCTGTCGTTTTCGTATTGACGGATTAGTCTCGAAGGCGTGTGGTCGTTTCCGTTTTTTCGCCGACGCGATGGCGGCGGCTGCGGCCACCCCGACGGGGCCTGCGGCAGGGCGGGGCGGGGTGGGGCGGGGCGGGGTATGTTATTGGCCGTGAGCCAGAGCGAGGAGGAGTCGCAACCGGATACCAGCCGGCCGCCGGGGGACGGGTCTCGCGACTTCCTGCCGCTCGGAGAGGGTCACTGCGGGGCAGCGCCGGAGGCACCCGAGACGGCAGAGGGTGACCTTGAATCGGACACCAGTCACTCAGAGGATACCACAGCTGTTGTCGGAGCGTCCGAGCGAGCCAGACCGGGGCCTGCGCGGCGCAGAATCTCTGACATGGGCACGCGTCCAGTGCACATTGCACATTACACCTATACCACGTCACAGCTTCGACATCACAGTGCAGCATCGTCGGCTTACATCAATCCCCCCCCCCCCACACACACACACACCGATCAGCCGTCAACGCACACGTGCGCATCTGCACGACACAGTTGGCAGCTGGCCAGCGGGGATGATCCACCCCTCCCCCCTCCCACGAGCCCCACCTGCGGCAGCCAGCTGCGCCGTGACCTCGTCCTGGGTCATGCCCGAGGTCATCAGGCCGTCGTCGTCGTCGTACGATCCTGCCGATGAGAGCATGTCGTCGTCGTCGTCCTCGGAATCCATCCTGATGTCCTGGTGAATCGTCTCGGCAGCAATGTTCAGCGGGTTGTCAGAGTTCATGGCGATGCGCGGCCCGCCGCACGCCGCCGATCTGAAACGGTCAGAGCGATACAGTTAGACTGGACGATTCAAATTGTACACTGACTTGTCCTACAAGCGGGCACATGCGGTCAGACGAGTTGTAAGTGTTGGACAAAGGGCTTATCTGACACCCCACGTGATGACATAAGATACCCTCAGACGTCATGTACCGGAGAGGGCTCACTGAGCGGCACACGCGCGCACACAGCTCACCCACTCCAGACCGCCGCACACAAGTGAAACGGATCTCCGCAGCCGGCTGAGAACTCCCCTCCCCCCCCCCCCCCCCCCCCCGAGCCGTCAGTCGAACAACACCGGTGGGGGTACGCGCCGACTGATACCCCCTCCCCTCCCCCCGCCCAGCCGTGGTGTGGAACCGTCGTGCGGCCGACTTATAGTAATGCCCCTCTCCTTGACAGCCAGTCGGGCGTCACACGACCCCCCCCCCCGCCCTCCCCACAAGGTCCAGCATGTTCCAGAACCGTCATCTGCTCTGACCCATGCGGCATGCCGACAGAGGTCAGCCTGGAACCCTTCTCCAGTCCCATCACACAAACATACATTTGTCCAATCCGAAGAATGCGTCTCGATCCGAGTTAAAACAGCAGACTGAGACGGTCAACCGAATCACCGGAGCTAAGCCATCCCATCCGACGATACAACTGAATGCTGCGACGCAAGTTCCAAATGTCCCAAATCTCTTCTTATCTTTTAAATAAAACTAGGCTCCGCTCCGGTTCTCTGCAACAAATGGCAAGAGAAACGAATGACGTCAGCTCCATACGCACTGATCCGCTAGTTCCCCCCCCCCCCCCTCCCCAAATGTACCATTTTACCCTCCCAAATACTACGAGTACCGCATCTTATGGTTGGAACTTCTCATCGACCCGTTACCATAGTAACGAGAACGGCCCACGATTGGTGGCGGAGATGTCTGGAAAATCAATAATTCCAGCCAGTTTCCTTCACCGTGCGTTCAACCGTCGTAAACCATATGCCAAAATTGTGTCCTGAACAAAAATGGATTATATGCATCGAAAACCTCGTCAAATGTTGGATGAACTCCGATCACATCTTTAGACCATCAGGAATTGCTCAAAGAGCTCTACGTCCACATCGTATCTCCGCCGACTGCGGCGGACAACAAAACTGGGGACGAGATTCGTCGCCCTCCAAACCCCGAAGGGCATCGGGGCCCACTGGTCAGCAGGCCGCCCCCGACGGCGCCCCCGGATTGGGCACGGTTCCTCACATGCGTAGTACGATTTGCCGAGGAACGCAGGCCCAGCGAATTTTGGCTGTGTACGGCTGCGTGTGCACCTGCGTCCCGTCCTCATTTTGGTTCAGTTGGTGACCGACAGTCGCCCAGTGATCACTGTGACTTTGGTGGCAAAAGTAGCTCACTTTGACTTAATAACGCAGCAGTGCCCATTTGAAAACTTGTGCAACCACTCTGAGCAAGAAGATGTCCCGAAATTCCATAAAAATCGGTTCCGGGCGCGCGGACGCCATCAATCGCCCGAGGCGTTATGGCGGCCTGACACCATTTTTACTGAGTCTGCGCAGTAGAGTTCAGCAGAAGGCTTTACAAAAGCGACCACCGTGCGGAACGAAGACATCCAGGTATGGGCCCATACTGTATGCTATTCCAGTAACAACTATTCTACTTACCAACTTAATAGCTCCAGGCAGCCCCAGCACGTTTTCACCACTCGGTACCAAACTCCCAACGCAAATAAATGCAATTGTCGACCGTGTTTTATCTGCTGCCATCTATCGGGATTCCGAATAACTGAGTGATACAGCAAAGAATCTAAAATATTGCTTGATAAGATTAACAAAACTGTTAAGTCTCTTACTGATACGTAATAAATTTGAAAACTGTATTATAAAATTTCAGTTTTATTGCCTATTTTGACCTTTTTAGTAAATAGTAAACCATAAAGTTGTCACCGTCATGTACGGTTTATTTTGTACTCGACTGCGACCGCATTCCGTTGAGTGTTTTTATATACCTTGCGTTTTCGCCGGTGGAGAAAGGGAAGGTGGGCGGTGGGCGATTTTTGTTTTGTTTATTCCACGGTGACTATAAATAGTTTATTCAATATTTTTGTTGCAATTATTGACTGTGCTGCTATAATTCGTTTTCCGCGCCTTTTGGTGTTCTTGCCGTTGTCTGTTCCACTGCTTCTTGCTGCTTTTTGTGACTTTGATATGACTGGGGAATTTTATATTTATATATTTATAATTTTCTATTACAGTGTACTATACATAATTAATTATAACTCTTTTATAATTGTTTTCATGTGTATCAGTTTTACCTAGGGCTGTGGAGTCAATAGGTTTTTGGTGGTTCGGACTCTCACTCCATCTCCGTCTTTTAAAAATCAACTCTGACTCAACTCCTGTCCTGGCTGAACTCAAACTGTATACTGTGACCAACTCCAACCCTGACTCCGCAGCCCTGCCACAATAGATTTTCAGTTATTTACTCTGGAGTCTGGCTCCAGTTTCTAACATTGATGACTGTGACTATTATTTTTGACTCCAACCAACTGTTGACTCTGCAGTCCTGGTTTATGCCCTATGCCTTTTTGGATTTTTGTACTTGTTTTGATTGTCAAAATTTTAAAGCTTTCTTGCCACCCTGGCAGATCCAGAGGGGGGCTTTGGAGCTGGAGATGGGTGTAGGCATAGTCCCTCAGGCCTGAAGTGGGTGGTCCAATTTTTAGAACTTTTCATGTTTTAGGCACTTAATGTGTGGCTGTACCACAGTAAAAAGCTAGCTTTTTTGCATAAAGTTCATTCGATTTTCTTTTCAGGTAAAAAACTGTACATATGCTATATTTATCAAATTTGGACCAATTGCAAGAGGGGAAAATCCCTATAGGTACCACCTTGACCTTGGCTTTGAGTGTCAGTAAATTTACAGGAACCAAAATATGTGCAGCCCATAACATTTACCATGATGTGAGGATGCACTAAGCCTGAAAAGGTAGGTGCCTACCTGCTACAATTGGATTGCCAAACACTGTTTAAGCTGATTGATGAAGCTATCAATTTTCCCATTTCATGCTTAGTTTTGTGTTTATTGGCAGGGTAGGTGTCTGAATTTGATATCATATAAGTTCTGACTCCCCACCTCGATGACTTCCTTACCTATTTGCATTGCAGCTCAATTCCCATGCATTAGATGAGTTTAGTTAAGGTCTTAGTGCTCACTGCTCATCTTGAAGGGCAACTTCTACATTAATCCTTGCTTGAGGTTGGGCTTTGTTGATTTGTGTTCTCAATACTTTTGAACTAACTCCAAAATTTCCCTTTTAGGAATTAGGGTCTCATGGAATGCATAGAGTCATATGAATTGACGGTGTCAACACAGCATTTACTCATATCACAGTGTGAGAGGCATGTGCCATGTGTGGTTTAATATCAAATCTTCAGGCTTCCTATTCGATAACTAGCTAGGATCTTCTCTGCATCATAGGTAGGTACTAAGTGACTGCCTGTGAGCGTCAGCTGAGCAGTAATTAGTCATCCCTTCCCCATGTCTCCCATCAGTACCCATGGTAATGGCCGACAAATGGTTACTTGTCGACGATCAGGGTGTCGCCAGGTGCGCGTGCCGTATCGCTCGGCACACTTGTCCGGCCCTGATGGCCGCGTTAGGGACGTATCCTCCGCCGGTGAGGCTGCTGGGCGGTGCTTTGGACTGTTAACTCCACGACAGACGGCAGGAAGCGGCCGGTGTGTGAGCCTCGTGTGCTCTGTCGCAGGTACTACCACCGGTGGAGGGCCGGGAGCAGCGAGCAGCGACCGTTCGAAGGACGACCGGGTGCCGAGCCTGCGGCCGACGCCCGTTGCAGTCTGCTCAGTGGTCGACACAGCTGTGGAGACGGTAAGTTGTTGTCTCAGTCGCATCGGGCTGATGGTGGGTGAGTGGTTATCCCTGATGCACCAGGCTTAGTGGTCTTCAACTCTTCAGTACTATGTTAGACTGTGAGGTGTTGTCCGTGCTGATCTGAATTCCCTAGCTGTGCGGGACTGAATGCATACCCGACCTACCGATAGGCCTCCGTCTGCCGCTGTATATCCAGGTCTATACAGCTTACACCGGTATATGGAGGGCTATGCCATGACATATTGATGGTATGCGGTTGCACCTGTGCTACGCTACACGATGAGGGACATTTCTCGCTGATGAGCTGTCACTTCGAATAGCATTCGTGACTCGGTCACGTCTGCTGTAGCGAGGTCGATCTAGCTTTTGTTTTGTGCTCGGTGCGACAACCTGACCGGATTGTAAGGGATATCGACCTGCAGCTTCTGAAATGTTAACGACTTTTGACCGTTAACGATTTAGTATGCATATTTTCCCGCGTCGCTTTTCTATTACATTCCTTAAGTCAATAGATCTGAATTCTTTAGCAGCTTTGCGTGTAAAATGTTGCATCTCCAGTGTCAACTTTGGCCTGTTTGCTGCACCACGGTAATTGGACCCAGTTGAGGCCAGTTAGTAGGACTGTTAAATGCGACGGCCGACACCGTCTCGGCGGCCCGACTGTCAGTGTGGGGCAGAGTCCGTCTCTCCACGGAGCTGGGCTCGTCTCTCCGATCGGTGGGTGTGGAAGAATAGTGACAGAACTTATATAATACTGGCGTTAATTATTGTCATTTTGTCCTGTAACTTTTTGCGCTGTACTCTGATTAGCAAGTTGTTCGAGATTTTGTTTAGCGAAGCTCACCAGGTTTTCAAAACTCGGCTTATTATGCGTTTGACAACCATTTCACCTACTAGGTTGACCGGATGTTCTAAGTTAGCGTGCACGTTAGGTCGTATATGGTGTTTCTGAATGTTGCTTAGTGCTTACTTGTGTTGATCCCTTCCAGGTCCAACGGTCTCCCTTGAAGATTGCTGAGCGGAGCTCCAAAATATGGTGAGTTTGATATGCATTGCCATGGTGCAATGCTGTCACAACTCCCAACCTAAACATTCGGACTGTTTTGCATGATATCGGACGTTCAATATGTCAAGTTTTATCTTGATCTCGATTGATCTGATGGCTCGTTTCCATCCCATGTTTCCCTCATTCCGTCCCTCGCCCCTTCACGCTCGCCTCTCTTCCTTTTCATATTTCTCCATCTTCCTCGCCTCTTTCCCTCTCTCCTCCCTATCCCTCCTTCTCACTCACCCTCACCATTTGGCATCTGTCCTCTTCTCCCTCCATCTCTTTCTCCTGCCCTCCTTCATCCCCTCACTCCTTCCCCCCTCATCCCTCCCTCCCTTAACCGCTCCCCTCTCTCGCCAGGACTCTGACGTCCGTCGGCGCGCCGGCCGGCGGGCGCCCGCCGACGGTGGCGCCTCTCGCGGCGCGGTGGAGAAGCAGTCTCGCTCGGCGGCCGGCGGGGGCGGCGGGTCGGCGCGGCCGTACGGCTGGGGTCTGGCGCTGCTCCTGGCGGCGCTGTTCGCCGGTCTGTACGTGCTCGGTCACCAGGTGGAGGAGCGGCACCCGGAGCCGGCGGAACTGGAGGTGAACGCGCGCCGCTTCCTGCGCCGCCTGGTGGCGCTCGGGCCGCGCATCTGCGGGTCTGAGGAGAATGAGAGGCATGCTGTGAAGGTGAGCCTGGGAGGGGTCCGGAAGGGAAAGGGAGGTCCCAGTCCTGGCGTGAGAAGAAATGCTTACTGCTCTTCGGTAGTGCAGTATTGAGCGGTGAGTGGGGATTGTAGTGAGTCAGAGAGGTTGGCTGCTAGGTTAGAGACGAGGCTTTTAAGCCTTATTGATTGACCAGATCCAACTTTAAAAAAGTATTGTCAATTGTCACAGCCTGCAAGTACAACGTTCATCTTTTGCTGACAACAGCCCAGATGAGGTGTCGTCTCAATTATCCTCTCTGGACCCCGCTGATTTACACTCTGTCCCTGTCACCGGCAGATTCTGTTGGACGAGCTGGAGGCGATCCAAAAGACGGTACCGAGCCATCACCAGCTCACGATTGACCGTCAGGTAAGACTGAGCGCGGACTAAACGCGGACTGAGCGCGGGCAGAGCGATGAATCAGCTGTGACTGAGTGCTGATTAAGCCCTAGCTTGGTAGGTACTAAAGAAGTACTGACTAATCGCTGACTGAGCACTGAATAAATGAGCGGATACTAAGCGCTGACTGAATGCCGACTGAATCTGGTCGCTGGATGGAAATGTTATGTGCTACGCATGGGCTTCTTAGCCCGGATGATTGTGATGTGTTATCATTAGTTTTGTTTCACTTTTGAGACCGTCATGTGACCACTGACCACCGAGCTATGCCGAGCTAGAATTGACCCGAACTGTTGTCTGTCTCGTGGCCTGATAGCCTCTGGTCTCCGTCAATATTATCAGAACAGAATATACCTGATGACACACCTCATTTCTCGTTTATCGCTCTCCTATGACCTTCACAATTCCAACTGATCCCTTCCCTTTCCTTCCACAGGTGGTGTCCGGCTCGTTCAAGATGCAAAGTCTAGACGGGGTGACCAGCGAGTACGCTAATGTACAGAACATTGTGGCCCGTCTGGGTCCGGCCGAGCCGTCCGAACACAGCGTGTTAGTCAACTGCCACTTTGACACGGCCATCGGCAGCCCAGGTACGCTGTTTTAACTGAATTCACTGACAAGGTAACTTGTTCAATCGGTAGTCCAGGTGGGTGGCTTCGATTATTTTAACCATCCTAGTGTCCATGTCTGGTGTTTCCACTTTCTACCATGTGATGCCTGCTGGCTGAATGACCACTGTCTTGAAGTGGACTCAGTGAGTTCATAGGGGAAGGTGGGGTAAGACGGACCAGCTAAGGTTTGAGGTCGCATATCTTGCTACACTGCTCTCGTAATTCATATTATTTATAGTCTTCGGAATGCTCAATCCTTCCTCTGTTGATATGTGTAAAGACTAAATTTCAAATTAAAGACATCTAGGTGGTGGATGCTCTTAAAGAGGGACATGTCGAAAACTCAGACAAGAAAAAACGTGGGGTAAGACGGACCACGTCCCAGAAGTGCCTGCTATCCGTTCATGTGTGTTACACTTCTGCTCTGTACTCTTGTTAGAAAAAGTAACCAGAATGGTAAAATAACAAAATGAGCCTTTATTCTTTACTTATGTGTGATGGAAGTGCAGCTAAAAGCTGGGAACATGTGTGTTGATTGTCGTTTGGCATGAATGCATGCTAACTGAGCACTTGCATGCATGGCTCACATGCAACAAAGACTCCTTCCTGAAAAATTAGCTTACTTAAACTTGTGTCAATGTTTTGAAAAAGAACTTTCCATATGCAGGGTACAATGGACCACCACAGGGTAAGATGGACCACAGTGGTCCGTCTTGCCCCAAATCTAAATTCTGTCATTATCATGACGTATATGTCAAATAGCCCAACATTGCAAAACCTTGCCTTTCCTAAAGTGTGACTATAACTAAGTTTATAACTTTGTTCGTCACAGTAAAGTGCAAAATAGAAACTAATCATGCAAGAAAGGCGCCGTAATTGAATCACCCGTAGACCTCTTATATTAGATCGGTTTGACGAAAAACAACATTTTTCTCAATAACTCAAAAGCTATGCATCCTAGCAGCATGAGCTCAAGATGGCCATTGTTACGAAGGAAAACAAACATAGTGAGTGCATAAAGCAGTAGATACCAGCAGCGGTTCAGCCGGGAGGGCTGGTGGTCCGTCTTGCCCCGCTGGGCCGTCTTATCCCACCTTCCCCTAAATCAGTAAATGAAAAGGACATTGCCGAAGTTCCCTGGAATTGTCAGTTAAGTACTAGACAATGAGTACTAGACAAAGCTCACTGGCGTCGGTTGATGTCCATCGCAGGTGCAAGTGACGACGGCGTTAGTTGCGCCGTCATGATGGAGGTCCTGCGGCGCATCGCGCGGAGTGACGTCAAGCTGCAGCACAACATCATCTTCCTCTTCAACGGAGCAGAGGAGAACATGCTGCAGGTGGGAACTAGGAACATCCTGACGCTGTTCGGCGCTCGCATCTGCTGACATATTAATCTGCTTTACTCCAGTTCTTACCGACCTTACGCAAAACACATATCCTAGCGCTATGTCACTGTAATGTCTCATCTCTGTTACAACGCTCACCGTCGGTTGATCCAGCATCTCTGCTTGTCTTTGCCCAGGCCGCTCATGGGTTCATCACGCAGCACAGCTGGGCGTGGTCGGTGCGAGCCCACGTGAACCTGGAGGCGTGCGGCGCCGGTGGCCGCGAGATCGTCTTTCAGACCGGGCCCGGCCACCCCTGGCTGGTCAAGGTGGGTCACAGAGAGTGGCTGGTAAGGGTCGTTATACATAGTAACGGTGGGGGCACTTAATGGATGGCTAATCTGGAGGGCGATATTTCAATTGGCATATAATGCCTATACCGGTGTATGGTAAGAGAATCTAAGTACGGGATGACGTTTTGAGGTTTTAGTTATTTCATTTTGAAAATGTTCGTTTGTCATTGGCCACGTTAGGATATGTCTGGATTCTGCCGATATTTTATTGTTAGTCTGTCCATGTGACAGACCTCTTCTGTCACATGACGGGTTGCTCACTGTCCATCAGACTCTTTGTCCAGTGCCCACCTTGCTCACCTTCTGCTTATCTGCGTGACTATTTGTTCACCCGACTGACAACTGACAACCCTCCGCCCGCCCCCACCAGGCGTACGCCGAGTCTGTGCCCCACCCGTTCGCGCACATCATTGGCCAGGAGGTGTTCCAGTCGGGCATCATTCCCTCCGACACCGACTTCCGCATCTTCAGGGACTACGGACGCATACCAGGTACTGTTATGACGAGCTGAAAATGGAAGAAGACTCGAACGTTGTGAACGTGGCAGCGTTCTGAGGTGGAAGTTATTGCCATTTTTAGCCTGCTATTCGCTTGCATTCTATGTTGCCTACAAGTGAGATATGTTTGCGTAAGAAAATGATATGTTTTTAACCGCCATTTTTCATATGATAAGCTGTGAATTGTTGCATGGACTATATGGGGTGTGACATGCGTCCTGACTAGCACCAGTGTGATTCATGTCCTTGCCCCTCGATGCATATTTCCCCAAATTTGCCCCTCCCTCCATCCATCTTACCCCCATCATTTTGCCCATCGCTGTCTTCAGATATGCCCATGTCCCCATGCCACGAACATTCTCACTCCCCTCCCCGCTCCCCATTCCACCAGGTCTGGACACCGCCTTCATCCGTAACGGGTATGTGTACCACACACCGTATGACGACGAGAGACAGATCACGGCCGGTAGCGTACAGCGGGCCGGGGAGAACGTGGAGGCCATTCTGCTGCGGCTAGCCACGGAGAATGACATCATCGACGCGCATGTAAGGCCCTGGGGGTGGAGGGGGAGGGAAGGGGGGTCAGGCGGGGGAGGGTGGTTGTTGGCTGTGTGCTTGCATTTTCGGTCATCAGTCGGTGGGGTAGTTGGTGATTCTCACTTATCATTCACTGGGCTTCTATTCATTCGCTGAATGGTTAGTGAGTGTGGTTTGTAGATGCATTATGAAAGGGAAAAAATAGCTTGATTGGAAGACTTGACATGTGATTTACTTATACTCATGGCTCGGATATTGCCTATTGCGGTGATCTGTTGAACACGGCGCCTGGAGTCGTCCCCGACCCGACCCACGGTATACTGACTAGTGACTTGACCGCCCCTCTGTCTCTTCAGAAACAAGAGGTAGGCACCATGGTGTTCCTGGACTACATGGGCCTGTTCATGCTCATCTACCCGGACTGGTTGAGCGAGCTGATCTGCCTGGTCGTCGCGCTACTGGCCGGATACACCATCTTCGACACGCTCAGGATCAGAGGTGGGTGGCTGCGTATGCGTTGACCTGTTCCATGAATGCTTACCGAAAGCCGATGAACCCCACATTATAACTGACGTCTTTACCTGTCCGCCTGTCGACGGTCTGATGGAGCGTTAGCAGCACCTGACTAACGTGTCGGTAGCTCTGACGTCACTGTGTCAGGTCTGACGCACACTGTCGGCAGGTCTTACGTCACTAACTCTGTCGCCAGGTCTGACGGTGTCCCAGCTGAGCTGCCCTCTGCCGGCAGGTCTGCCACTCTGTCGGCAGGTCTTACGTCACTATCTCTATGTCGCCAGGTCTGACGGTGTCCCAGCTGCTACTGTCCGCCGGCATGTCTGGTGTCACCGCCCTGTTTGTCGGCAGGCCTGATGGTGTCTCAGCTGCTACTCTAGTGCCGGCAGGTCTGCCACTAGTACCTACTATCTCTTTGTCGCCAGGTCTGACGGTATCCCAGCTGCTGCTCTCCGCCGGCGTCCAGCTGTTCTCGTGGCTGGTGGCCGCGGCCGTGGTGGCTGTCATAGCCATCGGGCTGGACTCGTGGAATGCCACCATGTCATGGTAAGGGAATGTTACCATGACAGAGACGAAATCGTTTGATGTTACCGTTTTCATGGGCTAACTGATAAGTCCTGTTATGGCCGACGATTCTCCTCCCTCCGCTTTCATATCCGTCTCATTCTAGCACGGGATCTCTGAATGCTGAATACTCTAATGCTGGAGGACTCATTGGCTGCAGCTTGATATCATTGTCATTTGAATGCCTCAGTTTGTCATATTTTCTACATTGAACCATAAATGAATACGCATCAGCTCCCGGCATCACCTCCCCTCTCAATGAGCTACTAACTGTTTCCTCATCTCCCGCCTATCCACGGCAGGTACGCGGCCCGCGGGCTGGATCGTCGACCTGTACACTCTGTAGATTCATATCTCTTCCATCCCTTGGCAGGTACGCTGCCCGGGGCTGGATCATCGGGCTGTACACGGCGCCCGTGCTGGGAACCCTCATCTTGGTGCAGCAGGGTCTCTCCGGCCTCCTCTTCCCCAAGGTGGGTGGCAGGACGTGCACCGTCAGCGGCAAATATCCGTCTTTGGCGGATGTAGTCGGATATGCGGCAGGGAAATAAAGCGAGAAAGTGAAGCAAAATGTCAAAATCGTATTTCGTAATTGAGTATCAGAGTTCGTTAATTTTTATGTTTACCTTTCTCTCCCTGCCCCACTGCTAGTTCCTGATAATTGAGTCTGATGCAAGAAGCTGACTTCTTGCGGTGTAACCAGTCTGACCGCCGCTCCCCCGACAGCTACGCTCTGACCCGGCGCGCCTCGAGGCGCTGCTGTACGAGTCGCAGCGTCTGCTGCTGGCGGCGCTGATGATCGGACTGGCGCTGGTCAGACTCTACTCGTCTGTGGCGTTCATGCTGCTGCTGCTGGTTCCCACGCTGGTGCGGAGCGTCGTCACGGAGAGGGTTTGTGGAGTCACATCAGGTGGGCGGCCGTGGGGGGAATGGAGTTGGTATAGTAATTATTAGTAGACGTGATCACTGATCAGGGTACCTATGTGTTAAACAGCTGAGGAGAGGCCTGGAGCTAGCATCTAAGCTTATCGATGGACCCTAACCACCCTTCTCTCTCGTGTGTCGCCTCGCAGGTCCGGTGCACCTGGCCACCTACATTCTCAGTCAGCTGGCGCCGGCTGGCTTCCTGCTCAACTTGGTAGCCATCTCTCTGGAGCTCTTTATTCCAATCACTGGTCGGATGGGCAACTCACTCAACCCAGAGCTGATCATAGGCGTCCTGATGACCGGCTACACGATACTCTGCAGTCTGTATGCGGTGAGTCCGCTTCCCTTCCCCGCTGTCAATTACCAGGCTTGAGGTTTGGTCGGTGCTGTAGTGGAATGCTCGGCTGGTGTGGTTATCGCGGATTGATCGGTGTTGTAGATCATTGGTAAGGGCTATTGAATCACCACTGCTGCTTATGAATGATTTCATCGTTTTCTGTTTGCGCTTTAATTCGCGCATAGTTTGTTCTTTTCCACTATGAGGGATGTGTGTGTTTGCATTTCCGTCTCACTGCCGTGACTGTCATCCCATGCGTGCTGAGCTGACCGCCGCGGCTCCCCCTCCCCACCGCCAGATGACGTCCTCTCTGTCCCTGCTGGGCTGCCACTGCTGACCGGCCGTGGGTGCTGAGCTGATTGCTGATCAGCCGCGAGAGCTGAGCTGACCGCCCCTCCCGTCCTCAGATGACCTCTCTGTCGCTGGTGGGCTGCCACCGCCAGCTGTCTCGCCTTCTGCTGCTCGTCGGCCTCCTCTCGGTGGCACTGGTGACGCTGACACCGCTCGGCTTCCCCTACAGCTCGGATCGGCCCCACATCCGCGCCCAACGCGTCTGGGTTCAGGTGAGTCATCCGGGGAGTCCCGTCTGACTCAGATAACAGCCGTCGAGCGCGGTCTGACCGCCCAGGCCCGACCGCTGGTTTGAGTTCCTATTGCCTATGCCATCGCCTGCCGTGTAACAACTCACTGTTTTCGGTGCACTGCGTAGTGGGCTCAGGGCTGTTAACAAAATTTTCTGAGTGTGACCTTTGGCAGATCAAATTGCGGTGAACCCGTTGCATAGAAGCGTCTCAGTCCGTATACAGTTAACGGTACGGACTGAGTCGGTAACTAACGGCACAGTAAGTGTTTGTTCATTGTTCATTTATATATTTTATTTTGGTCGCAGGTCTCAAGCTGCCTGAGATGTGCATATGCCACGGAATCATCCTCTCTTCCAATCGGCATTGATTAACAATCGTGCAGGCAGACGGCCGATCCCAGCGCCTCCACTCTGAGACGTACCCCTATCTTCCCTCCAGCACGTGGATCGCACGTTCCGGGAGACGGACGGGTCGGTGCGCCGACACGACTCTGGCTTCATGTTGATGAACATGGACCGTAACAGCCCCCGCTCGCTGTCGGACGCGCTGCCGGAGCTGGCGACGGCTGCCAACACGGGCGACGACTGTGACAAGGAGCTCTACTGCGGCGCGCCCTACTACTACCCGTTCCGGCGCCGAGTCTAGTGAGTGACAGACGGGTGTCCTGATGAGCTGGGCTGTACAGGGGAAACGACTTTGGTGGGGCGAGAACCTCATTGTTACTCGTCTCTTTTTATTAACATTTGAGACTAGGAATGAATTGGGTTGACGGTATAGTCGTGCTAAGCGGCTTATTTGGTTTTCTGTTGTTTTCCCTTTATTCAGTTTTGATAGTTTTGTAACAAAGCATGTTAAAAACAAGCATCGTCAAATTGGCTAGTTGTGAAAGTGACTAAATGATACTAACTGGATTGAACAATGGATGTGTCTACTACCGGTACAGCCGTATATGAATACTGAGTGCGACTGTGTGCGAATTCAGTTGCCCGGTCTGCGGCCCTGTCGGTGTCGTAGTGAAGTAGTGTTCGTAGTGAAGTAGAATGTTAATGTTATGGGACTCTACCTTTTAAGCCAAGTTTTGTGAGAAGTTTTTGGGAACAGGGTTTGCCTCGAAATTGGCCTTGGTGCTCGCCCACACAAGGGGATACGGCATTAGCCATATAAATATTTGTTATGTGCAATGGCTTACTTGTGTCTTTTTTACTGCTTTGACTTGAAACGCGAACATCGTCATCACTATTCACTTCACTTTGATTACAAGAAATCACACTATGCTTTTCCGCGAAACCTCAATTACAACAGTTTTTTTTTCGGTCATGACTCAGGAGGCTGAACCGTTGACCCTAGATAAAATATTGGGTTCCGGAAGAGCTTTAGCCCTGTCAGTGACTAGCCAGTGCTCCTGGCTACCCCTATCATTGACAGGGGGCTGTTAACGACCCCCTCCCCCCCCTAATATCTCGAGAGTCGAGATCTAGCAAGCCAATTTTTAAAATCTAAACAACATTCAATTCCATTCAACATTATCTACATTTCTATTTTAAAAAATCCAATTCATGCAAATCGGGGTAGCAGTGGAGTAAAACTGGAAATTACAGATACCTACTTTTTGACTGCTTACAACGATCAAGTTTGCTGAACCAGTTTTGTCGTAACTACAGGGTGTCCCAGAAGTCTTGAAGCTTTTTTATTTTTGTCGTGTGACCTTGCTATGCCACCGATTAAGGCGAATCATGCCTCAAACGAAAGAGAATGAACTGAAATTTTGTATTTTCATGCGTAGAGCACCACATTAGTCAGGTGGCCCCCGTTGTGAGTCGCACAAGATTGAGCACGAGAGATTACGTTCTTCGCTGCCGCCAAGATCTCCCGGTTTGCGAAACACCGGTGTCGCGATGCCCGTTTCTTGTCAGCTTCAGAGTCTTATTCCCTGAAGCGAGCGACATAATATTAGCGAGTAGCGACATATATTTGCGACGGGTTGATATTTGTTTTAGCCCCATGATAATGCAACGAATGAAAGGATTACAACGGGCTGTTGCTTAGCGCGCTCAAGCAGATGAGCCTTATTTTTGTAATGGATGCGTGCAAACATGTCAGGAGACTTTCTGATCAGTAAATCATTATGTTGCTAATGTTTTCTCCGAGATCCAATACTCTGTTTCCTGGCTCGCTTCATGAAATAAGGCTCTGAAGCTGACCAGAAACGGGCATGGCGACACCGGTGTTTCGCAAACCGGGAGATCTTGGCGGCAGCGAAGAACGTGATCTCTCGTGCTCAATGTTGTGCGTCTCACAACGGCGGCCACCTAACTAAAGTGGTGCTCTACGCATGAAAATACAAAACTTCAGTTCATTCTCTTTCGTTTGAGGCGTCATTTGCCTTAATTAGTGGCATAGCAAGGTCAAACGACAAAAACAAAAAAGCTTCAAGACTTCTGGGACACCCTGTATTACCGATCGATGCAGAATAATCATAGAAAATACAGATACGAGTATAACTTATAATACAGATACGAGTATATATGTAATAGGCAGATACGAGTATAACTTATTTAACCCGCGCACCGACGGGGGGATATCCGACCCCCCCCCCCCCCCCAACGTTTTTCGTAAATAGCGGGAAACCGTCTAGTGAGTCTAGTGAGTGACAGACGGGTGTCCTGATGAGCTGGGCTGTACAGGGGAAACGACTTTGGTGGGGCGAGAACCTCATTGTTACTCGTCTCTTTTTATTAACATTTGAGACTAGGAATGAATTGGGTTGACGGTATAGTCGTGCTAAGCGGCTTATTTGGTTTTCTGTTGTTTTCCCTTTATTCAGTTTTGATAGTTTTGTAACAAAGCATGTTAAAAACAAGCATCGTCAAATTGGCTAGTTGTGAAAGTGACTAAATGATACTAACTGGATTGAACAATGGATGTGTCTACTACCGGTACAGCCGTATAGGCCCGGGCAGCGCTTGTCGAACAGCACTGCGGATCCGAAGGTTGGGACTTTAATTGTGAAAAAACGCCCGCCCGCCCGCCGCCAAACGCAAACACCGCAAAACGCGCAAAACGCACGCCTAAAACGCCAACGCAAACTTCGCAAAAAAAAAAACAATCGCCCGCCCGCCAAAAACCGCAGAAAAAACGCACAAAATGCCGCAAAAAAACGCGCGTCCGCCGCAAAACACAAACACCGCAAAAAACGCAAACACCGCCGCCGCAAAAAAAAACGCCCGCATCGCCCGCCGCCAACCGCGAAACGCCGCAAAAAACGGCCGCAAACCGCAAAACGCCGCAAAAACAGCCGCCCGCCGTAAACCGCTAAACACCGCAAAAACGACCGCCCGCCGCTAACCGCAAATAATGGCCGGCCGCCGGCAACCGCAAAACGCCGTGAAAAACGGCCGCCCTACAGCCGTATATGAATACTGAGTGCGACTGTGTGCGAATTCAGTTGCCCGGTCTGCGGCCCTGTCGGTGTCCCGGTGTTGCATACTGCTGCCGCCCTTGCTTTTTCTCCTACTGACTGTTTATTTGTGACCACAGTGAGACCACAGTGGCTCTGTGATTTGTGACTACTGCCACCCTTGCTGTGTCCCCGACTGACAGGCTGTTTATTTGTGACCGCAGTGAGAACAGCTACATCGCCGGGCCGGCGCCGGAGCTGGCCGTCCCGCTCGAGTACCGAACCGGGGTCGAGAAGCGGCCGGACGGCGTGCGTCGGGTTCACTTCAACATCACAGGTGGGCCCCCCACCCATCGCACCCCCTTACCCCCCTGAGGGACAAGTGTACGCCGTAAGTGCAGACCTGAGGCTGCTACTTGACTATCTATCTGTGGGGGCTCACGGGACTCGAGAGAAGCTTTCTGAAGTAGAATGTTTTCGATTGGACGGATGAATCACACAGCAGCTCATCTATCAGTGACATGTGACGTTTCGATAGCTACGCCCACGTTCGCTGGTCGACCGAGGAACCCGTATCAACACGTTTTCCGGTGCCGACTCCGGCAGGTCCCGATCACATGACCATGCAGCTGTCGCCGCGTCCCGGGGTGCAGCTGCTCCGCTGGAACCTGGCCGACGGCGTGCCTCTCACCGGCCAGGAGTTCCAGGGCCGGCCCACCTACTTTCTGTACTTCTCCTGGGGTCGCAGCAGCGCCCCGTGGACCATCTGGGCCGATTTCAAGGTACGTATGGTCCGCGCTCCACAGTCAGCGCTTTGAATGCGTAAAACGGACGGATCGATCATGTTTGTTTGCGAGAAATTTCACCCAAATTGTTTATTGCTACCGCCCATGGGCTCGTTCCACGTAGGTAGTGCCAATATTAGGTAGTGTTTTATGAGTGAATATCGCCTGTTCACGGTTCACTGTTCCCGTCTTTGAAACTGGCTTTGAAATCTTACCAAAATCAAGTCAATAGTAGACTATAAATTTAGGTACCTGGCGGCAAAAAGTCCACTGCTGTCCGGCTGAACCCTTCACTGCTCCTATTTCAACCATCGGCCTCTTCTGAGTAAACCTCCGTCGAACTAACCCCCCCCCCCCCCCCGTCAGGTCTCTGAGCAGCACGAGACGAGCGACTACCTGACAGATGCTGTGATAAACGGTCACCACATCCACGGGCCGGCCATGAAGAGCGCCTCACTGCGCGAGTTCCTCGCCCGCCTGCCCGACTGGACGGTGGCGGTCGGATTCAGCTCGGCTCTGGAGGCCATTCGAGTGTAGCAGTGAGTCTCCTATCCAATGCTCATGCCAGGCCGTATCTGAAGGCCGGGGGTGCCCGGCGACGGTCCACAGGGTGTGTGTGTTTGCTAGTCCACAGTCCACGCTTCTCAGAATGTGGTGAGGTAACGTCAGCGTTTCGTAAAAATTAGACCTGCCACGTCTCCAATGTTGATGTCAATAGCTGCTAGGCACCTCCAGACCAAGAATAGGCACATATTGAATTGGGTGATGGCGTCAGTGTGCTGTTTTAGCGGCGGAACGTCGTGATTTTAGGTCTGCTGTATGCGAGTCACGTCATCCTAGAAGCGTCCCACACGTCTGCGACTTGTGCCCATTTCCTTGGGCAGCTTCAGCCCAGCTCAGGGCGAGTTCCGCGGGTGTGGCACCTCTCGGCAGTCGGGCCACGGTGGGTGCAGTGCGCTGCGCGATGTCGGGCCAGTCTCGGCCCGATTCGTGCGCTTTGGGTACACGCTCAGGTACGCAGCGGCGACTTCGTGTGGTCAGTTTGCAACTCTGCAGCTCAATGGGAGTGGTGTCAGGGGTCGGGTGTCAGAACAACACTGCGTTGGGGACTTCGCATTGCCGTCAGTCGAGTACCAGCTTGGGCAAACTGAGGCATTTTCTCACGTGTGTGTCAGTTCGATTAGTTGTTTATTTTTAGCTAGCCAAGTGAGTTTTTAGGTATGCATGCTAGCTCAATAATTTGTATCATCCCGTTCCAAACAGAATGTGACTTTATTTGTTGTTTGGGCACGGTAAGGTCAGGCTACTGTTAACAGACTGGACTTGTGTGAAACACCAGGTACATTTAATTCTGGTCAGCATCTGAAGCGTATGTATTGCCTCCCTTGCCATCTATCCGTTTCGTTAGTTTCCGTTTCGTTGATGAGCTCACCGTTGTGATGAGTGAGGCAGCTGATATTCTATATATGTCTCACTGTTCAATGACTGCCCAGTTGAAGCGTGTGTTACCAAAACACGCAGAAAACATTCCTCGATAATGTTGCGTAGTATTTGGCGTTGTATTCTTAGGAACCCAGAGCATCAGTAAGCTCGTTCGGAGGCGTTGATGTTTTACTTATTGATCTTATCTCCTTTGTTTCCTTTTGTACGTTGTTACTTGTTTGTTCTTTTGTCAAAAAAAAAAATCAAACTCACTGCTTAACTAGAACGCAAGGTTCTTGCTCCCCGTTCTACATTACGTTGGCGGTTGGGGTACACAAATCTCTGAAAGCAAGCTGCGGTTGGGAAGCTTCTGCCCTTCGCAGGAAATGCCAACTAGATCGGTTGTTGTTCGTAGGATCATCAGTCAATGTTGACTGATTTGCTCTTTCTCAAATGCAGTCGTGCATTGATGCGCCTCTCACAGAGGACGTAGCAGGGACGTAACTTGAGTAGACGTATGTGATCCCTAGACCAACGAACCAACGAAGCACTTTGAGCTTACGCGTCGCGGACCTTTAACCGTACCCCTTCCAAAAGTAGGCTGTGGTGTCTGAAAAACGCGGTAATGGGTGCAAAAACATGTCCCTTCAACTAATTAACATCAACACCTTGTGAAAATATGCATGCGAATGTGATAAGCCCGTATCAAGTGCAATGTTGTTTGGTCATTTTAGCCTCCCGATTATTTATGTGGAGTGTCGTACACCGTGCACCAACTGTGTAGTAAGTTCGTAATACCTCGTAATTTGTCCAGTGTTGAGATTAGACGGCATGCTGTTAGACGGCATATCTTTTGTTGCTGCTGTGCACTCCCATATGCATCGTTTGACAAATACAGATATGCGATAGTGCAAACTGAGATATTTACTTGTTAATGTTATGGGGCTTTACCTTCTAAGCTAAGTTTTGTGAGAAGTTTTTGGGAACGGGGTTGGCCTCGAAATTGGCCTTGGTGATTGGTGAAATTGGCCCACACAAGGGGATACGGCATTAGCCATGTAAATATTTGTCATGGGCAATGGCTTACTTGTGTCTTTTTTACTGCTTTGACTTGAAACGCGAACATCGTCATCACTATTCACTTCACTTTGATTACAAGAAATCACACTATGCTTTTCCGCGAAACCTCAATTACAACAGCTTTTTTTCTGTCAGGACTCAGGAGGCTGAACCGTTGACCTTAGATAAAATCTTAGGGTTCCGGAAGAGCTTTAGCCCCGTCAGTGACAGGCTCCTGGCTACCCCTATCATTGGCAGGGGGCTGTTAACGACCCCCCCCCCCTGATATCGCAAGAGTCGAGATCTAGCAAGCCAATTTTTAAAATCTGAACAACATTCAATTCCATTCAACATTAGCTACATTTCTATAAAAAAATCCAATAAATGCAAATCGGGGTAGCAGTGGAGTAAAACTGGTAATTTACAGATACTTTTTGACTGCTTACAACGATCAAGTTTGCTGAACCAATTTTGTCGTAACTATTACCGATCGATGCAGAATAATCATAAAAAATAATAGGCAGATACGAGTATAATTTATTTAACCCGCGCACCGACGGGGGGATATCCGCCCCCCCCCCCCCCACCCCCCAACGTTTTTCGTAAATAGCGGGGAAACCAGAAATTTTGCTCGACTATTCCCCCATCAATATTATACATTGTGTGCAAATTTGAACCTCCTAGCTATCAAGGTCAAGTCACCAGGTCACTTCGAATGACCTGACCCCAAATTACTTTTTTGCAACTTACTCACCGTCTCAGAGCTACGTAGATGATGGAATCCTTTGAAAGTTGCAGGATGCAATGAGGTCATTGGTAGCTACAATTTGTTTATCTCGGAATACCTAATGATATCGATGACCTAAGGTCATCGATATCAAGGTCAACTGCCTGATTTTTTTTTTTTTCACAAACGCATAGGAATGGCCTGATATACCATGAATGACTTCATATACGATCAACCTTGACTACGTTGAAGCCTTTTTTGCTCTTGGGCAGCTGTAAGGTCATGTGGCGTCATCAAAGGTCACCAAAGATTTGTTTTGCTAATGACTCCTTACTGGAACGAGATACAGCCGCGTGGATGGTCTCATTGTGTTCAGCTCGTCAAGGCGCATCGAATGATATGGATGATGACCTTGAGGTCACGTGACCTTAGGCCAACCTTTGACCTTGACCTTTCGAGGTCAACATATTTGTTTCGATGCGGATCGACGAGAGGATCACGATGGTGCTCTTAGTCCTTGCTACTGCGAAAATTAGTCGAGAAAAACTTCATATCTAGCACCGCTATTTTGACCTTTTTGACTCCCGTGACGTCATCTTTGACCTTCAGTAGCGGCGGAACACCTTTAATTAGGGGGGGGGGGGGCACTGCCGACTTTTAGTCCCATTCTTTCCATGCAACGCCCATGGGGCTAATGTTAAAATGCCAAAATCAAAGGGGGCACGGTGCCCTCCCCGTTCCGCCGCCTACGTTGACCTGAAAATAACCTCAGTAAAAATTATAGACCTTGTCCGTGTGAACCCCATGCCGTTTACCGCCTGTCGCTATCTTGCTCAGCTCTCGAAATCTCGGGGGGGGGGGGATATCCGTCCCCCTGTCGGTTCTAAGCTGGCGCGGACCCCCGTCGGTGCGCGGGTTAATTTAGGGTACCCAAAATTTATGCTAAAAATCGGTTCTTTGTTCCTGTCACTCACGTTGGTTGACGATGGTCTTGTTATGCTAGGATAATGTGTGCTAAAATGATTAATATTATATTGGTCACCCGTAGACGGCGACAGGGCACAGTAACTAGTCGGGAGGTGAAACATAACAATTGTCTATAATTTGTGAAACACTACGATCACTACGATGCAACGATGTGAAATACTATTTTTGACCTTCCTTTCTTTTTCCTGGGACCACCTAAGATCCTTTTCTTGCTCATTTCTGAACATGTGATAGGTGCAGGCCCGGTCGTGGGCTAAAACTGAAATATTCAAGGGAGATCAGGCATCAGCCGTGCCCGCGGAAGCGTGTCTGCAATTCCCCTCTGGCCGCCGTCCACCCTCTCTCCCATGTCAATTTCGCCGTCGACGACCAAAAATGCCCCTCCCTCGTGTTGTTACCTCCAGACTGCCAATTACGATGACGTATAGGGGTATAGGTATAGACGACCTTCGCCCGTATAGGGGGGGGGGGGGTCGAACGGACCTTGCCCTCGGTTTTTCGCGAATAACTCGCGTAAAAAGCGGCCGATAGCAACGAAACTTTCAGTATCCTCGAGTTGACCAATTTTACACCTACCCTGAAAATTTCATGACCCTGACACAAATGACCTTTGACCTGTGGCCTACTTTTCGAGACCATGTTTGGCCGGAATCGCGATTTGGCGTATGTCGTCTCGCATTGGCCGCGCGTTTGCAGTCTTTCCGTCATGGTTTCAAGCGTTCAAACATGTGATATGGTGTTGCCCCCATGCATTGGGGTGGGTGTCAATGTCACCTGAAGGTCAGGTCAGGTCATTGACCTTTGATGACCTCGGTTCACTTTTTCGAGTTTTACATGTCTTTAGGTCAGTTTTTGGAGCTGAATTCGAATTTAGCAACCATATGAACACTGACGAAGTAGTTGGTGCCTTCGTAACGAAGCTGTCAGAGGCGGTGACACCCGGGGCATTCCGCGATAGATCGTACCACTTTTTTCCAATTTGACACCCTCATCTCTCGGAATTTGACGAAAATTGGTCTCAGGGGTAATCAGGGGCTCTGAATCTACCTGTAACAATTTCAGGCTTATCAGATAAGTATTTTTTGAGTTATGGCGTATAACATTTTTTGGATCTTGCTTTGCAGCACTAAGTTTGGCGGGCTGTAACTCTAAGACGGATTATTCAAATGCCAAATGTTAGATAACATTGAACTTGCAATGAAACAGAGATTAATATGTATTTTTGAAATTTCGAAAAATACGCTATTTTTGATATATGACATATCGAGTTTTCTTTCATTTGTATTTTTTGGACTTTGGGACCAATTTTTTAAATTTTTATTTCTTTAAAAAAAATATTTAGCTCATTGTTAAGAAGTGTGCAAAAAATTAGGAAGGTGTTTTTTCTATAAATGTATTTATTTTATGTCACGATAACGGTTTCGAATAGTGATTTTGGGAGGGGAGCTTACAAATGGCGTGGTAAAGCTGCCTAGTGACATCACGGGTTACTGAAATTTCATTTGAAGTCTTAGTCATCTGAAAAAATGAAGAGAGGGTTCATCCAACCCTCTTTCCTATAAGTGCGAGAGTGAAAAAGGCTGTTTGGTTCTGACATTGTTTTGGACGCCAATGACCATAGCTGTCCGAGATAAAAGTTACAGGACGCATACATGGTGTCCTCCAGAGGTCTCACAACTTCTATATCTGGGAATTTTTGAAGGTCACATGAGTCACGTGACATCACTGTTATAAGTCAATGGGGAAATATAAAATCTGTTATTTTGGCGCCGATAATGATCTAAAACCACAGTGTCTAAAACTATCTCACGTACATGGTATCGTGATTTCATGCACTCCTTGCAAAGTCCAATGCTTCACTTTTGCATTGTTAACCTTGCGTGACGTCATTTATGACGTCACTAGGGTCGTACGAGTTTTTCGTCAATAACTCCCGATCAAATTGAGCTAGAGAGTCGGGAAAGCCAACAATGGACTCGGGAAGACCTTCCGAATCGAATGATATGCCACCCTTTGCCCAGCTTCGTGACCTGAGGGGCTCTGACCTGACCTTGACCCGAGGTCAACTACTTAAGTAGACCCATGGAGGAAGGAGTACTGGAGTGGCAACTTCACGCTTTTTTGCGACAGACACCTTCCAGCTAGTACCGTTCATAGGTTCTTATCGAAAGCAGAACTACACCATTCAGCCAATCAGCGTTGCCAACCGTCCGTAATTCAACCAATGAGCGCGCTCGTAACGAGCTGACGAATAAAATGAACAGACTACATCGAGCAATATTTAATTTTATAAGTTTATAAGTTTATATTTATAAGTTTATTATTATAAGTATAGTAATAATATAAATAATATGAAATATTTATAAGTTTTAATGTCAATTTCAACGAGCCGGCGCCTGCCCGTTCTTCCCGTCCTCGTCTCCAGCTGTACATGTAGGGGAAAGTGGGGTAAGACGGGCACCTTAACTTTGGAGCCATTTTTCGGCCGGTTAGAAACATCATAGAAACGGGAAACTGGGTGAAAACCTTTTTCAGACATTTTACTTTCATTTGCCAGAAGATGAGACTTAGACCTGATTCAACAAATAAACTGCAGCTATTTTTGCAAAACCTTGCAAAAACCCGTCTTACCCCACCCCATGGGGTAAGACGGTCACATGGGTAGGGCAAGACGGCCAGCTTCTTTCACCGATCAGCGCAGCTCGCAACAAATGCCCGAGATTAGCCGCATTTATACAGTCGCTCGTTGGTCTCAAGTGCTTCGGAAATGGCAGTATACGAGATTCGTGCAGAAGGCGTATGCTCCTATATAGGCCCTAGTTCAGAAGCCATGTAGAACCGTTTTTCACATTCATTATTCGAGAATAAACTGTGCCGAAGGAATATTGCTAACATGTCTGTGAGTATCGGAATCGAACATATTCTTATTAGAAATGCTTCTTTTTTCCTACAGCAACAAAAATATTTTCACCATTACAGACCCATTGGGTTCATAGTTGCCCGTCTTACCCCAAACTCAATGTCAGAAGTTCAGCACGATTTTTCGCTGTGGACAATTTGATGCAGACAAAGCAAATCCGCCGTAAATGAACACTGTTGGCATATGAGTGTACCACAAGTGATTGCGAGTTTTTAACTCTATAGTGCTGTACACAAAAGCTTGCACAATACATTATGGATGTTTTCAATGAAATGAGTGTTTTAAAGAAATCAAAATAAAAGATTATCGACTGAACACAAATTCACCAGACTTGAATGGTGGTGTGTAGTGGGAAAGGCAATTCTGGTCCTAACTTTTCTTGCTCGTAGCGCTATTGGTTTGGTCTGCAGAAGGGGTGCCCGTCTTACCTACCCTGACCGTCTTACCCCACTTTCCCCTACCGCCCTTCGCGCACCGGATTTGAGATTAATCTGTGAAAGTCGCTAGAACTTGAATGTAACCATTGTCTTCTCCGTTTAATTTCCTGCTCATTGATGTACAAAAATCACACGTAGCGCCCAAAATAATCCTCCTACGCCCTTTTCTCTAAACCGCTGCACGCCATAGCCCGCCATTTTAAGCCGACCGCCGCGACCCGCCGATACTAGCTGGGGCGTTTCGACCCGCTCCCGCTAGGTGGCCCGTGTCTGTCGCTAACGGCCCATGCTAAAGGCATGGACAGTGGCGGATCCAGGGGAGGGCAAAATGGGCATTTGCCCTCCCCAAAGCCAAATCGTGTGGGCAAGACTATCTTTTTGCCCCTCCCAAAGCATGTAGCGATGAGCAAATCTAATACGGCGTCGATGCCTATATGGACGAAAAGCAGGGCTTCTGTCCGTGACGGCCATTCCGAAGGAAGGAGCTGACCACTTGCTGCTGATATTTTGGTTCGATATGCTGATATTAGATTGAACCCCCTGAACTGAATGCATGCATAAGCATATGCAGTGTGGCCAATGGCCATGGTGTGAGGTAACACGGGGCAAGATGCCCAGTCGGGTAAGACGCCCACCACCCTATATTCGAAATTACCTAAGCAATCCACAGTTTTGTCATTTGTTGGGAGCCTCATTGCTGTGGAGCGTTCCGCGTAAAAACGGCGACGTGCCTAGCCGCCATTTTATACCTATTTTTTGCATATGTTCTGAAAATGTCAGACCAAGGTCTCTCAAGGTCACGAAGTCACTATAGCTGCACGTCAAGTGACATTTAAACCTAAAAACATTTCCAATGCTTGCCATAGCTAAACCGAGTGACGGATCGCTTTGAAACTTTCAGCATCAGCAGTTAATAAGGGTAACAGTACCTATGTACAAAATGTTAGTCACATGATTTTTATATCGATGACCTAGGGCTAGGTCATTTTTGCGACCTCTCCACTATAAGTCAATAAGAGAAAATTGAAAGGCACCTTTTTTTGGGCAAACCTCCTGTCCGGTAGCTCAGTTGGTAAAGCAATGGACTCCCGGTAGTGAGAGCCCGGGTTTGAGTCGCTCCGGCGCTCGATATTTGAGACTCCTGACGGGGATGGTCTGAGGTTGGTGGGAGCAGCCGCAGCCAGTCAAAGTCAGGAGTGGGATAGGCCGTGTCCGGCTTTGAAGGGCACGTTAAACATTGGCATTGTTAAACGTTCAACTAAATTCTCCTGTCACCCGGAATTACGCGATCGAACGGTAGGGGTCGGGCTCTACGCAACAAGCTCTGCTTAGCGTAGGCTCCGGCTCCCGTCAATCCGCCCTTTCAAACATTCGTGCTAAATTTATAAGAAACGTCACTCTTAACAATACCGAGTTACAACCTAAACAGCACACAGTGAACCGGAAAATAGCACCCGTGACCCCTCCTTATGTCCCTGAGATCATCTCAGGTCACGGAAGATGTGCAATAGTTTGCAGCAATTCGCTAATAACTTCTGCTGGAGGCATTCTAGAGCAATAGAAACACCTTAGATGTGTTCAGCTTTACGATACGGATCGACTGATATGCAACACGACCTTTTCCATGGTCATGACTTGACCAAATGTCAAAGTTGTAAGTTCACTTTTTAAGATCAAATTATAACTCATTCGACGCGTCTTCGCGAGAGGAACACGATGCCGGTAAAAGTAAGATCGCACAAGGTTTGATACAAAAGTTATCACAGAAAATCCGTTCCCGTAAAAATAGTATATATTATGACAGTTTCCCCTGGAGGCTAAACCGTTGATCTTAGGTCCAATCTGAGCGAATTATCCAGAAAGAGCAGCAACAGTGCTATCAAAATAGCTTTTCTGGGGCGCTCTAGCTCTATTCGTTTCCGAGTTATGCGCCAGTTCTTCAAAAATTGTCGAAACTGGACCTAAATATTATCGGGATTTGGCCTTTGATGGGCTCTGGTGATCTGACATCTGACCTGACCTTAAAAGTGACTGGGGTAATTTGGTCATTATGTTTGACACTCTTTCAAACGCCGCCTACCGCGTGTTGCTACGTATACGTGGTCCAGGAGCCGAGTTAGAAGGGATATGGGTGTTCAAACATCCCCCAGGGGCGTGAAAATCCAGGAGCCCCAGCGCGGCTGGCACGGGTTAACATAAGACATTTTACACCATCTTACGGTAAGATAGTGTAACTGGCGTTGTGAAGTAACTTGATCACTGGCGCGGTGGTGGGTCGGGGTCGCCGATGGTCGGCTAAACTTTTGCCCTCCCCAAACGGATCGGCTGGATCCGCCCCTGGGCATGGAGTTGCCACTCCAGTATTCTCTCCTCCATGGTAGACCTCACCCTAACAAAAAGTAAACCATTCGACGCACCTGAGCTAGGCGAACACAATGATGCCAAAATCGCGGCTCTGCGGCCATTTGTTGCGAAGTTATTTACTAAAAACCGAACCCGTAACTTCAGTCACCTGACCTGACCTCAGACGCTACCGGTTAACCTGAGACCTTAAAATTGGGTACCAATCGCTGCGACTTGTAACGGCACACACGTTCGCTTTTTCCGCGAGGCTCTACCTCTATTAGAAGCAAAACGGCGTGCTGGGGTCGTATCAACCCCTCCGAAACCCATTTTGTTTGCGGGAAAATGAGGAACTTATAGAAAGAACACCTTTCTAATTTTTTGCATGTCGATTTGCAATGACATGAAGTTTATTTTGAAAAAATGAAAATGTGAAAAATTTTGGTCTCAAAAATCATTAGAGGCAAATGAAAAAAGATTAAGGTTTTTGTTCAACAATCAAATTTTTCTTTAGAATTTTTAAAAAGTAATATCAATTTTTGGTTCATCGCAAGCTTAGTGTTGTTTCCCGTTTGTTGGTTGCATAACCCGTTCTTGAGTTATAGGCCATCAAACTCACCGTTACAAACCGAAGTTAAAAAAATGTAATGCAATATAACTCAAAAAGTTTTTATCTGAGAAGTCTGATATTTTGCCAGGCGTCTTTGGGGCCTATGATTACCCCTAGGACTGATTTTCATTAAAATCTGAGAGATGACAGTGACGGGCCTGGTACGATCTATCGTGGAATGCCCCACCTACTACGTATACCCGGCAGGACCCCTTCTGGTTGACCTGACCTGACCTGACCCGACCTGGCCTAAATGCATGAAGACATCATCTGTGATCAAAACTAACATGATATTCGTGATCAGCACCCAGAAAAAAAAAACATAGCAGCCACACGTATGAGTTCTAACAGGTCCCGATTTTCCCGACTTTTGGGTCATTGACCTGACCTGGAAGGTCAACGTTCGCGGCTGGAAAAAAACACCAATACGGGCGAGGGTTAAACATCCAATCATACCATGCCCGGATGCTGCAGCCTCCCCCCCCCCCCTCGGAACCCTCCCAGCACGAGTAAGTACACACATACCATACATGTACAATGCACATGCCATCATACACATACCATCATCCAATACTGCACAATGCACATACCGCACACAGCTCGCCGCGCCGCTGTCCCCCGGTCGACCTCGTTAGACCGGTGCAGTGGCAGACCGGACCCGTTCGGGTCCCAGTCGGTCGGTGCTGCCAGCCGCTCTCCACGAGAGGAGGTGCGGACGGCAGCAGTCACCAGGCGGCCCCCGAGCCAGCCGCCCAGCCGCCGCGACGCTCTGCGGGTGCCGAGACGCTCCGCCGTCACTGGGACACTCTGCAGTCGCCCGAAAGTTGTAGCTTTGCCGGAAAGCTCCGCCGTCGCCGAGACGCTCCATCGCCGCGACGATGACGAACCGTCTCCCCGCCCCGCCGCCGATGACGTCGAGGATGCTGTTGATGTTGTTCCTGGTGATCGCACAGGTGAGCTAAGAGATGGTGTGTGCTGGAACAGGTACTCGTGTCAGATGTGCAATACAGTGTCATGGTTTCATTTGTAATGGCATAGGTTTCATTTGTAACGTTTCGTTGCAATCCGCCGCATTTTTACGCCAGTTATTCATGAAAAACGGGTGTCCATCCGATTCCACCTTCCACATGTGTGCTAGGGTTAACCGCACATGCAGTTGGTATTACCAGATGAAGTATCATTGCAATTATTGAGTTCCCTGCAGTCGCCGCATGTCAAACATCATTGACGTTCGGCATTACGTCTGATGGTGATGCCATTAACTGCCGATAAATATCGTCCGTCCACCGACTATGGTTTGGTCGGTTTGGACGGCCGAATAACAGTTTATATCACGGGCAACAATAGTAGCCCATCAACATAGTCATAACTTAACAATGAGCAGTCACTACCATTGACATAATTGATGACCGGTGTGTTGATGCGGAGAATGTTCAGTTATCGATGGGTTTTATTTATATTCAACAAGCAAACTCAGGTGACGTGTGATGACACAGCTGTCTGTTTATAATGCAGCTGGATATCTTGTATAGGATAATGGATAATGCACAATATGCACATGCACCTGTACGTGGAGGGCAAGAAAATAATCGGAATGCATAGTTAGGTATAATCATGCATCAAAGCATACCTCATCGTGCGTATGTGCATGGTACTTACCTACATGGGTGTACACACTAGGATTAAACATTTCCACATACCTAACACGGGAATAGCGCTTAACCCGCGCCCCACTGGGGGGGGGGGACTATTCATATCCCCCCTCCCGTTTTTCTGCAATAACTTCCAAACCGCTTGACGTATCGAGCCAAACTTTCAGTGCCTTCGGCTGCATCAGTTTGACACCTAGATTCAAAATATGAACTTCGTAGCTACCATAGGTCGGCCGGAAATGACGTTAGAGTGACGTCATGTTCGGCCAATTTCGACGCAAAACATTGAACCACGGCAATCGTTCCCAAGAGCTCAGTTTTTAAGCTAGATCCAATTTATTTGCATGAGAACACTCAGAATAGACTGCGCTATCAAACTGCTATCTCGGATTCTCAAAAGTTTGAAAAGTTTGAAAATTATGTATAATAAAATTCAAAATTTATATCTTTATCTTTTTTTCAAAAAACTTGATTTTTCGAAGAAAAAAAAAACGGAATATATGAGATAGAACACATGCTTATGACTTACTCTAGCAAGTTTTAGCCAAACATCTTCAAAAAAATGGCCCATTATAGCAAAAGTTTCACAATTATAAATTTTTCAAATCAACTTTTCAGTACGTATTTGGCATCGTACACCAATATAAAGAGCACCATTGTGTTCCTGAGTTCAAACTGCATCCGATAGACACCTTTTTGGTTGAACAATTTTAACCTTAAAATTTGACCTTTTGTTTGACCTGATAATGGCCTGAACTCAGCTATATTCAACTCAAAATGACCTCAAATGACACAAACGACATTGAATTCGAAATCTATGACCTAAATGGACCATAAAACATGTGTCACATGACCGACGCATTTCCGTGACCTGTGATGACCTGACCCTGACCTGAAAATCAAAGTAGGTACAAGTTTGGTACCCTCAGGGTATCTAAAGCATCTGTTCACGAGTGTGTAAAACAAAAATGAGCCTGATCTGACTTGTAAGACGGCGGCTAGAGCCCAAAAGGTGAACAAGCCAAATATCGACAATTTTTACTTTGACCTGACCTGTGACGTCATCGGTGACCTCGAGGTCAATGAAATTAGCTTTCATTCGACAGTTTTTCCGGGGCTATCAGAAGCTGATTGAATTTTTACGATCGGCCCAGTAGTTTCGGATTTAGGAGGGGGGGGGGCTATGAACTGAAGAGCCCCCCCTCCCCCCGTAGGTCTTGATTCTTGTCATCCATCAGTGTCATATTATTGTTGCAGCATTGGCCTTTCTGCATCCTTTGACGGGAAACGGGGCCCGCGTTTGACCCAGGTTAATCAAAGGCTTCGCTGAAAAAGCAGGACGACGTTGTCCACGAGATGAAGCCCATGGCACCCAATTTAAGGTTTTAGGTTAGCTGGTGGCCTTACAGGTCAGCTAAATCACCCATAGATCCCAACATAGCCAATCCAATAACTCGTTCTACATATAGCATAGGTGGAACTTTGTGCCGAGCTGGGGGTGCCCGCCGCAAAGCCTCCACCGCCTTAGCGGTGACTTTGACCTCCGCCGTCTATTGCGGCCCCAAAGCCAAGCCAGCGTGGAATTGGGACAGCTCGGGCACCTAGCTCGGCACAAACCTCCACCTATGTGTTCTAGAGATATTCGCCCAAATCCTAAGCATGCGACCTATGGGATGCATTAGCTTCCATTTTGCTGGTGAGGGCTAACGACACAAAAACAGGACTGAAAAATGATGACGGTCTCTTGGCTTAAAACGTTTAGCTATAGGACAGAAACAGTGGGTTCTTTTTAATGATACCTGCACTGATAAAATCCATCGGCCATCCAAGTGGTTGGTGTCTTAAAAGGCATATTTTTCATTCCCAGCTTGATTGATGTCCTTGAGTCGGAGCATGATTCGGTGGCATTGTGATCATCGTTTCACAGCAATCTGGCAGATCGGCGCGCTATAATTCTAAAATTCACAGCCTTGACCGTCAGAAGTTGTTCCGCGATCCGGGGTCAGCAATCCTTCAAGACAACATCAAAGCGTGATTTGTGGTAAAAATACGCGTCCTGTAGGATTGATGTTCCCAGTTCGGGAAATGACGTTCAACTTGTTCTTTGTTTTAGGTCCTTAATAACACCATTCCAGGGCGAAGGGAGGCGAGAATATAAAGTATAGAGACATTTGACTGAGTCGACTGCTGGCTGGTGCGCCGCAATGGCTGGGCACATATCGCCTGGACGATAGTGATCTGGTTAATTATCGCTGAATTATATAATAGTGCGGATTACAATAGCGTGGGTTAGGTATATTCAAGGCATCATACTTTTGTTCGACAACCTCCGAACTATTCACGTAATGACGAACTCGTGCACGTTTAATTCGACGTGCACGTTTACCTGATTATAGATAAAATACGTTGCAGATTAAATAGGTTGCGCCTTTTTTGGCTTGTGACTGCTTGTTTCTTGCCTTTACCTATGGCGTCTTTGCTTCCCCAACAACGTAGGTATTTTCGCTATATTGCCACTTCTTATCCTAATCCACTTCTTATCCTTATCCTCCTTATCCTTCTTTTCTACTTCTTTTTTCCACTTCTCATCACTTCTTATCCTTACAGCGCCAATCGGATTCTGCTTATTTTGACCACGAATCACGATCGCTTGTTCTACTACTGTATAGCACTTGTAAGCTTGTTTTGTTCTTTTCATCCAACACCTAAGCCAGTTGGAAGCCCAGCGAACATTGGGCTGAAGTACTGCACTGGTTTTCGGTTGTTGTTTTTGTTTTTATTGGTAGGTAGGTCGTGTACACTTAACAGCAACACAAGTGGAGACGGGGACGATAAATAGTGCTACTATGAGATAATCACATATATGGATTGTGGGTGTAGGCAATCCGCTTTTACCGTGCTAAATTCCCGCTCTTCCTGACGGCGACGTTCATGGGCTATTTACGTAATAGCTGTAGACCCCGTACGAGCATGCATATCTACAATGTATGATACATACGGCACTGAGTACCTACGTACGGTATAGACCAGTCTCACACCCATTGCGCTCCATTAAGTCAATCCCTCGAGCTGTCTTAATCCCAGGTCGATGCCCCACGTTACACGGGTCCCCCGAGTCTCCCAGCTGGGTCTCTGCGTTACGACATGCCGGCTTTGTTCTGTGTGTGTGACAGGGCGTCTCGGTCGCGGGGTAAGCTGGATTTGTGGTCGGCGATGTGCTCCGCCGGCGCGGCGGTTGGTTAGAATGAAGGTATGCGGATGGGTGATTTGACCCGCGGGGGGTTGGCGATGTTGGGCAGAGAAGCGGGGGCGGCTTCCTGGTTAGGCCGACGTATGGAATATGCTCCCTGCTTAGGCCGGGACATTTGCATATCTGGTTTGAGCTTTTGACCGAGTTATCAGTCCCAGGTTTTGCGTGGTTTTATCTTTGGTTTAGTGGGGTTATCTCGCTGTTTCGAACCGAATTATTTTGTTCGTTGGGCTCGGCAAACTCGGTAATTGACCCACGACATAACCGTCGCGCTGGATGTTCGGAATAGCTCGCTGTGCTTACGGTTGATTTCGCTGGTTTGGCCAAAGCAGCTGTCTGTTTCGGTCTGGGTAGCATAGCACACAATTCGGCTAGAATAGTCTGCTGCATTGAGTGGGGGCGCGGGACGTCTCACTGGCACGGCTGGGTCGGCCGCGCTGGCCGCAGTTGGGCCGGCGTGGCTCGCGGGGTGGACTGGATAGGGTGATGAGGTTGACAAATTCCACGCCATCCTGCGCCATTGTCGAGATGGATAAAACCTCTCGGCTTTCACCACGGCGCGGCTAAGCTCAGACAAACTCTCTCCGCGACGTCCGCCGCGTCGGTGCACTCGACCCCAAACGGTGACCTGGCCCGGAAACGGTCACGGCGGGGCGGGGAGGCGGTCCGTCGCCACCGCAGGGCCCCTGGCCTCGGCGCCGTCCGACCGGGCCCCGATACCGCTGCAGTGTGGACAGCAGGACGTCAACCTCACCAGCCGGCACCGGTTCTCCCGGTCACGGAGATTGGCCTCCTCAGCCGCGCGCCGGTCACGGTCAATGTCAGAAGCTCAGAACCACTTGCGACACGGAATGCTGCACGCATCTCGTACGCACGTTGCTGTAAATTATTGTTGAGACAGCTCGTTTGTTCGCTGTTCGGGTTTGCTGCGCTGTGCTCGGTGATATCCGATTACCGCGCCAGCTGCAGTGCATAATAATTCAGCAGCTCGGTGCGGACTGCGGATCTGCGGTTACACAAAGTGGGGGTGTACTGGAGAAAGAGGCCGAAGGGACAAAGAGTCCGGTCTTCTTTGTCGTCGTCTCGACTCGTCCCTGTCCTGGAACATCGATGAGAGCCATCTACCGCAGATCGTTCCGATTTATCAGCCGCGTATCCGGGCTAGTCTCAACCGTCTGTGATAATATCGGTCTATCGACAGGCACTGCTCGTTGCTCACCACTGCACTGCGGTTAACAGGGGAGGGGGTGGTGGGGAACTGGGTGGCCTCGCTCGGTGTGTGTGCACCGTTAGCAGAGAAATTTTATTTGTGCAAATTCGCTTGTGAGGGACATAGCCTTGATAGCCGGTGATGCAGCCAGTAGATAAGCTATGCTTCTCTGCTAAAGGTTGGGGATTTATTTGGTTGTCTCGTAAACAGAATGCACGTTACGTAGAAAACAGCATACGATGCACATTGTGCATATCATGACAGTGAGGGGATTACTAAACCTCCATGCCTCCTGGTCATTAAATACAAGATTCTCAATGTCATTAATTCGTTAACTTACATGGTTATAGAGCCTATTAAATCGGCCTTGATTCAAAACAGTTAAGTGCAAGTAAATGGCGAAGTGGGTAGGTACTTGTATGAACAGCATTATGACATGTATATGTTTTCAAATATAACCTTATGTTCAATGATTGGATTCTGGCGCTGTTGTGACTAAATGATTTAATTTGCAATTCTGAACTGAAGAAGGACAGTGTCCGAAATATATTCATTTTGTAATTAATTTTGGAACCTTTTGCATTTCGCAATCATTGAACATAAGGTTATATTTGAAAACAAAACAGTTAAGCATTATTTCGTTCACCTCACCACACGACAACTACTACTGGCCAATCGATCCTTCTTCCAACCACATCTGACCAGCATCTCTCCCCTCCACAGCTCCTGGGCCAGACGTCGGGCCAGCTCGCGGACGTCTCGCGGTGGGACGACCACATGTTCGAGGCGCAGGCGACGGTGGCGGTCGAGCGGTCGCTGCGCCCGCAGCTCTCTGCCAAGGAGGCGCGGCCGTCGCCGCTGTTCGAGCCCCAGGACGACGGGAGCCCGTGGGAGAGGTCGGCGTCCACCCCGCGCCGCTACGTGTCGCCGTTCCAGGTGGCTCGACTCGTGCTGCAGACCCTCGACACAGACACGGACGGTCAGTAGTCAGTACTCAGTACATTACAAAGCTCGGAAAAGGTTTTGGTAATCTCATTTGGTAATCTCAGACACTGGCAGCTAGTATAGGTACCTAACGACTCTGTCTCTGTCTGTGTGAATGCGACATAAATCACTGTGACGTTACTTGTATTTGTTTTTCTAACAGTAACGGCGAGTTTTTGCATAAAGCATTTTGCTTATTAAGCTGCAACTTTAGGTCTCTCTACAAGGGGTTGATCAAACTTTATGGACTCATCAGATTTGATGATTAGGGCATTGGGCAGATCTGGCGAGACTTCGTCCCTGGGGATGGCCCATCTGACACATTGCTGACCGGTTCAGCTCTGAATCATTGACGGACCACCCTGAGACCTGTTTGCCTGGGGAGGGATATCTTTCTGAACGGGTCTGTCCTGCCCGCAGTGGGAGCGTACGGACGGTTCGAGCTGGTCACCGGAGTGACCGCCACGCTCACATCGCTCTATTTCCCGGGCCTTTACCCGCCGTACCAGTGGAAAACCTGGCAACTGACGGTAAGCAGAAGGGACAGAGGACCGGGAGGATCAGAATAATGGACCGGGTAATCGGGGCAGGGGACCGGCTGTCTCCCTGTCGGTAGGAGTGCCGAGTGTCACGACCCATTGCGGTCGCTCCTGTCTTGCGAACGGACCGTGCATCGAGATTGCGCAGAGAATTAATAGTAGCATTACTGTGCCATACTGAATCGGACCGTCACGCCCGCAGTGTAACCTTCCACCGCGCCGTTTCTCACGAGTCCTTCACACCGTTTCAGGCGGAGGACGAGCAGGCCACGCTGCGGATGACCTGCGACACTTACGAGCTCGGCGAGGGCGACCGACTGGTGCTGCGCGACTCAGTCCGCGGCCGGCGCACCTACTACAGTCCCGGCGACCCGCCGCCAGATGTCACCCAGCCCTTCATCCTGCTCGAGCTGCGATCCCGTTCCGAGGGTCGGCTCCGCTGCTCGGTGAAGGCTGTGCGGGTGGAAGGAGGGTCACAGCTGGGTCAGGTCACCCCGGTCAGCCGCCCGGAGTCGGCTCAGTCGCAGCCTGGTGTCAAACCGGAGCTGGCTGAGACGAAACCGTCTGTGCCGCCCAAGATCGTGACTCCCCGACCCAAACCATCAACACCAGCCCCGGTTGTGACCACTCAGAAACCCCAACCGGCGGCTAAACCGCAAACTCCCTTCTCTCAGAAACCCCAGAAACCTAAGCCAGCGGCCAAGCCCCGACCTCCCCCACCGTCAGAGAGACCAGTGGTGCCCTCTGAGGTCGGAGTGGCCCTCAACCAAACCCGTCAAGTCGACCGGCCGGTGGACCTCAACGACCCGATCTGTGGAAAAGTCCAAACGAACGTCCGAATCGTCGGCGGGGAGGTGGTGCCTCGCAAGGCTCTCCCGTGGATGGTAGGTGAATCAGTCAGGCACAATTAACAGATAGGGATAAAGATTAATCGTGATACAGACACTGATCATGCAGAACTACTGACACATTTATACATAGAGCAGATATCAATGTCACTTTAATGGCAAGTTCTAACATTGAATACGTAACGCTACATACTTCTGTTATTTATGTTTACTTCCATTAATATTTCATGTTTTCATATTGTTTTGAATTTTGATTATAATACATTTTAGACGATGTGAATCGTCCATCCTGACATAGCGCGTGACCGATTGCCAGGTGGGCATCACCAGCCTGATCGGTCGAGGCCCGTACTGTGGCGGCAGCATCATCAACGAGCGCTTCATCCTGACAGCCGCCCACTGCGTCAAAAAGTGAGTAGGTAACGTCCTGACTGCCGCTCACTGCGTCAAAAAGTGAGTAACGTCCTGACTGCCGCCCACTGCGTCAAAAAGTGAGTAACGTCCTGACCGCCGCCCACTGCATCAAAAAGTGAGTAACGTCCTCACAGCCGCCCACTGCGTCAAAAAGTGAGTAACGTCCTCACAACCGCCCACTGCGTCAAAAAGTGAGGGACTTTCTGTCATGCCAGATCGGCGATACAATATTTTCAGTCGACCTGTTCCAGTAGTCATTTGTAATGCCCTCTTTTGTATTGGTCAAAGGTTTAAGAGTATATAGAAGTTTGCAAATCTGTTGTCGCAAACATTTTACATCAAGGCTGTTACCTTTTTTATGGAAAATTTACATTTGCCTTTCAGCCGAGAAGCAAGTCGTATTTCCGTACTGGTTAGAAAGTACAAACGATACAGGGACGAAGATCAAATCCGATTCTACGTGAAGAAAATCATCAAACATCCCGACTACAACAAGATACGCTCTGATAGTGACATCGCAATCTTGGAGTGAGTGTTGATGTGCAGCGCGTGGTAAATAGTTGTTACCGTATGCTTAAAAGTCCAAGGGCTAATCGCAAGGGAAGAAGCCGTATAAACTGGAAGGGGAATACGATGGGTAAACGAACGTTAACTAAGAGCAAAACTTACCGTGCAGAATGCTTTTTTGTAAAAGGAGATGGAATATGGCTGATAAATGCACATTCGCGCTATGTGTTGCTAAATGCACATAGCGCGAATAATTAGACTGAGAAGATGCAATTTGCAATCGAAAGGGGCAAATGATCTCACATGAAACGGATCGAACGATTGTGCCCAATCACTAACGTCAAAATGAACCCCCTGCACTCAGTCTAACCCACCACCTCTCCCGCAGGCTGAGGGACAACCTTCGAGAGCTGATCTCCAGCGAGGACGGCCGTGTGCGACCCATCTGTCTGCCCTCAGCGGCCTGCGGTGGCGGCAGCGGACCGGCGGAGGCCTGTCTGACCGGCCGAACCTCACTGATCGCCGGCTGGGGCCTGCTGCGCCAGGACACGCTCGACTACCCGGACGTAGCGCTGCAGGTCGAGCTGCCGGTGCTGTCCAACGACAAGTGCGCGGATGATTACGCCAATGAGCCGTTTGTCATCACCAGTAACATGGTGTGCGCTGGCCTGCCCGAGGGAGGCAAGGATACGTGTCAGGTTAGTGGCCTGTGTCAGAGTGTCAGAGTGTCCGGTCAAAGGGCCCACATGTGTCAGGTTTGTGGCCTGTGTCAGAGTGTTAGGATGTAAGGTTAAAGCCCAGTCATGTCAGGTAAGCACTGAGCAGGCTGACAGGTCAGCAGGCTAAGATGTGTCACGTCGGTAGGTCCCAGCCTATCACACGTGGCACGCAGAAAATGGACGTCAAGAAGCCTGAAATCAAATCACGTGAGATCCGGTATGCATTTGCGCGCTTGCTGCTTGCTAGAAGTCAGGTTATTAAGCGTCCAAATTTAGGTAAGGAACCGGCAATTACTCGCAAACTTCAAGGTTCAGAATTACAGGCGTTATAACTTCTAAGAGTGCCTTTTCTCTCTGGTGTTACACTGGCCGAAGCGGAAACAATCAGACGTAATGTCTCTTTTCACCCTCTCCACTTCTCTCTCTCTCCCTCTCTCTCTCTCTCTCTCTCTCTCTCCTCTCTCTCTCTCTCGCTCTCTCTCTCTCTCTCTCTCTTTCTCTCTCTCCTCTCCTCCTCTCTCTCTCTCTCTCTCCTCTCTCTCTCTCTCTCTCTCTCTCTCTCTCTCTCTCTCTCTCTCTCTCTCTCTCTCTCTCTCTCCTCTCTCTCTCTCTCCTCTCTCTCTCTCTCTCTCTCTCTCTCTCTCTCTCTCTCTCTCCTCTCTCTTCTCTCTCTCTCTCTCTCTCTCTCTCTCTCCTCTCTCTCTCTCTCTCTCTCTCTCTCTCTCTCTCTTCTCTCTCTCTCCTCTCTCTCTCTCTCTCTCTCTCTCC